GTTAAAATGCATCATGTTAACTTGCTTTCACTCAGTCATCAACTCCTAGGTCTCTCCTGAAGTGGTCATTTGAAAAGCAGGCGATGCTCTTCGTACAACACGGTGCAGCAACACTCACTATCGCGAGAAAACGAGTAACGCTAGGGAAGTAAGTGCGTCAATTCAGGTTTTTTCGTATGATGGGATTAAAATGATGTTTACAAGAAGGTTGTAATGATAGGGAAAATTATACTAAAATGTTGAAACAAAAACAGATATACAAAACACACGTGTGTATTAAAGGAAGACTGAATAAGAATATGCTAAATTATAACAACAGTTTCACATTTGGGACAATTGTCAAAAATCTCGGAAACAGAAAAGTTAAAGAAGACGATTATAATGGGCACATGCGAAACTTCTATAATCAGAGCAAAAACTGATTAATTAAAAGAACAATTCAGCAATTTATAACAACAGAGTAGCACAGCTTAGGAGTAAAAGCTTATCCCTATTAGAGGAATACTAGAGAGAGGGAGCCTAAAATTCTAGTAACAGCGATCCTCTTTGGGGAAGCATTAAAGTTTCATCTAAGTCATCACTGTCAATGTATCCAGTCCAAGTGGTATAACCAAACTCCTCATCTTGAAATCATTCAGGATTTTACCAGACAATTTGGAATTGCCCCTAATGGATTTCCAAGGTAATCTATGTTACTACTCACAAGCAAAGACTATTTAGAGATAATCATTCTGGAAGCAGAGGTGGCCTTGGGGATTTCTTAACATTTCTGAGCAGTATCATGATTATTTGGTAAAATGACAAGAGCAAACAGTGAAAGTATGTGGAAGAAATACTTCAGATAAACAGCAATAATAAGTTACTGGTGATAGATAACATGCTGCATTTATTGACATCTTCACCTAAGAAGCTAAAAGCAGTAACATTAACCATTATGATGCTCAGTGGAGGGGTGGGAGCTAAGTCAGTCAAGCGCATGATCTTAAGCTACAAGGAAGAGTAATGGCTTGGGCAGCTAAAATTCGAAATTTTACAAAGGATCTGTGTAGCCCTTTTTAAACCACACCTTTTAGTACTGCTGGGGGCAAACCAGATTGATAGATTTCAATCTTGGCTTATTTTATTTCCCCTGATGCCAGCAAAGGATCCCAAGTAGACTTTAGTGCAAAATTAGTGGGCCTTTAAAACCTGCACATAATTCAATTTGTTAAATACTTATGAAGCACAAAAAGAAAAGGGTATAAAAACCAATAAGCCTAGGCCCCTGAGCTTCGCGGGGTGAAAAATGAAGTCATAAGAAGCCTTGATAACACTGAATAATTAATTGTATGGCCATTGTCATCATCCTCATTTTCCTGTGGACCAATTAAACCTGAAGAGGGACACAGAACAAGAGCATTTAAGAAATTTCAGAACACAGGTAAATCCCAATGTCATAATATCCTGCTTGCTAGATCAATTCATGGAACAACAAGTATTTGAGGACCCACAGGTTCCAAGCCCTGTTTTATTGGGCACAGCAGTCATCAAGACAGTCCTTGCTCTCATGAGGGCTACAGTAGAGGAGATGCTTACTATATGCCAAGGACTAGGTGAAGTGACTCACACTAATCCTTGAAAACCAAAGAGATTCCTGCAAATGATTAAACATTATTTCTCAGTCTAAAAGGTTTCGGGGGGAGGGGTATTTTTGCTTTCTTGAAATATTAAAGTATAAAATATTAAATAATCTAAAAAAAATTCTCTCTCAGTAAACTGGGTATTTTGGAGAACATGACTAGCAGCTTCATTTTGTTAAGAATGACACATAGTTGAATTTGAAGCTGGGAAGCAGTAATAGGGCACAGAAAGATGAACAGGCCCCAATTCCAAGAGAGGGGGTGGGGTCTGGAAGACAGCTTAACACCAAAGCCTCACAATGACTGTTCCTCTAACAATGCTCAGGTAAGCTCAAAGTGGTCGCTTATGAAACAATACTCAGAGAATTCTTTTTTGGATGCTCCAATTTCTACAAAACTGTTTATTTTCTAAGCCACATGTGTCACAGAGTAAGTGTCCCTGCCCACAACTACCCTAGGCCTCCTAGCAAGGCCATATTCTGAGTCAGGAATAAAAAGAACACCTTGATATGCCACAGAAGTATGTTAGTGACCTAGTGAAACACACCTACACATATATACACAATGCATACACATTCACACATGCACCTGTATGCATGTATACACACACTTTGAATAATTATAAAGGCAGTGTTTATTAAAATACATTTCATTTTCAAAATTGAGCTATCAGCTGTTAAAATATGTATACATTTTGGGGGGATGTATATGGGTGTAAATAGGTAGGTAGGTAGGAAGGTAGGTAGGTAGGTAGGTACTTCCTCTGGCTGACAAAGAAGCAGAGAACTAAGTCACAGTTCAAAACCTATTTGCCCCTTTTCTCTAGGGTGAATCACACTTGCCCACACAAAAAGAGGGCATTTTTCCACTGGGTGGACAGAGAAGGAAAGAAGTAATATCCCCTATGACACACAACATAGGTGATACAGCTACATATATTCTAACCTGCCCCCATACTAAAGTGCCTTCCTTCTACCTAAAAGAAGCCTTTCCAGTCTATAGGCTTGAAGCATATCAGATATATTTTTTAAAACAGGTTTCCTAAGCCAGATATTAAAGAGTATGTATTGTAGGGTTCCATTTCTAAAAAACATACACAATAAAACCTGGAAAAATTACTCTACCCCACTGCAGTGAAGACAGCAGTTACCTTCATGCGCGGTGGTGCTATGAACGTGACACAAGCACTGGTAATGTTTTTCCTGGACAGTGTTTACCTTCATGAAGAATCAGCAAGGTATACACCCATGTGCACTATCCTGCATGTATATTATACTTCAATAGAAAGTATTTTTAAAACTTAGCTTCCTAATAATTTACGGCTTGTCACTAATTTCAATTGCTCTCTTCCTGAGACATTATATTATCTAGAAATTATTCAGAGCCATGGAATTTTCTCTAGCCAATTTGTAGAGCAACAAATATAAATTGATTAATTCTACAAACCTTAATAGTCTTTCCTAATTGTACAACTGAGCAAATAGCACCTCTGGGCAGTTTTATAAGATCACTTTTATATCAATTACTAGAGCCCCGATTGGTGTGGCTCAGTGGTTAGAGTGTCGGCCCATGCACCAAAGGGTCCAGGGTTCAAGGGCATGTACCTGGTTTTCAGGTTTGATCCCCACCCTGGTTTGGGCCAGGAGGCAACCAATCAATGCGTCCCCCTCACATCGATGTCTTCCATATCTCTGTCTCTCTGTCTCTCTCTCTCCACCTCCCTCTCCCTCCCTTTCATTCCCTCTAAAACTCAATGGAAAAAATATCATTGGGTGAGGATTTAAAAGAAAAAAAATCAATTAGTAGAAAAAAGTTCCTTATATGTAGAGGCATGCACTTTACCAAACCTCCACATTAGCAAATCCTTTATGCATGGGAACGGGGAAGAATGATCTCATTATTGTATGTAAGACTTTTAAAAAATATACTTTTAAATCCTTCTTGAGAGCTACATAAATGATTATAACCCAAAGCCAAATGATAGTTACACTTTTGTCATCATAAGACTTGAGTCAAAATTTATTTTCAATCTTGGCTCAACTTCAAAATGGTAAATAAAAATGGTAATAATAAAAGAGAAATCCCCAAAAGCTGAGGAACTTGGGGGCAAGTAAATCTCTAGCAATACAACCTAAGAGTGACCTGCCCTCCTCTGTAACAACCTGATACTTACCTCCCTCCTACCAAATGTAAGCATACCTGTACTTCTTTCTTCCCTGAGAAAAGGGCCACCAAAGTAATTTATATTAGCAGTCAGTAGGAAGGCTGATATACAGCTACCACTGGGGCTGGATCTTGGGGTCCCCCATTACACAAGTATGGAATCCCCCCAGCTCTCCACTACGTACCACGGCAGGTAACTATGTAACCTGTCAAGCTTCATTTTCTTTATAAAATAGGCACAATGGTATTCATAATTTATAGTGTGGTTGAGAGAATTAGATAACATAATGCATGCGCACAAAGCAATTAAGACTGCCTGGCACATAGTACAAGGGCAATGACTTGTAACTATGTTTGCAGTAATAAAAACTTTTTGTTTAAAAGGTGACTTTACAATATCACTTGACAAATACAAAATTTACATGGACTAATACTCTGCCAAAAAGAAAAATTATCTTTTAAAGTAACCCAAGTTAAATGTGTATAAAAAGGCTTTGAATGGAGCCTGGCTTCTTGCCAGATCACTTTCAGTCTCTGAATTCAGAACAAATATATTATTATAAACAGTTCCAAAAAGACCATGGACTTTGGAGCAACCTGTTTCAAGTCACTTACACTCTCTGGGCCTCAGTCTCCTCACCCATGAAATGGGACTGATTCCCACAACATCCGGTAATACTGAAGTTTTAGATGTTATTTGCAAAGGATCTAATAGTATCTTGCACATTTGTAGGTAATCATTTCAAAGCAGATGGAATAAGAGAATCATCAGAGGGTTTATTCAAAGCTGGAAAACTTTTCAAGAGAAAAATTTCCGCCCTCTGTACTTCATTTTTCCCTTCTTCGTAGCATTCTTATACTTTGCCTTCTGCTCCGATCAGCTGTGCTCCTCCTAAGGCTACACAGGTTGATCTGATTTGATTTATCTCCATATCTTCTTCCAGCCCCACATCACCCTCCAAGAACCTACCAGTGGCTTGTCCAAAGACGGTAATAAAATGATGCCTGAAAAGTCCAACTGGGGGGAATTTTTACCATAACTCAGCCTGAGGAAAGTGGGATTCTCCTCCAGAAAGAGGAAGAGAAGAACAGAAATGTTCCTGGACTACAAATCATTTTCTTAACCACGGGATAAATTTCAGAAACAATATTTTGCTTAGCTTACTTCATTTCCTACGTTCTACTAAGATAAGAGTGACATCTGAGAACAAGGCTTACCTATTTGCATCATTTCTTCATTACCAGCCTGGAAAGGAGGGGGGAAAGTAAGAAAAAGAAACAGTTACTGGGTTTCATCTTATCACCTTGTGCGTTTTATTTCTACCATTAATGCTTTTCAGGAGCTAGCTAATCAGGAGATGCTGGAGACCGGATCGGTGCCTACGGGCTGCACCTGGGTTTGTTGAAGGTTCTTGCAGGGTGAGCAAGAGCCAGTTCAGTAACAATTTGGGGCACACAACGGTTTGCCCATTTTAATTTTAACTGAACATTTATGAAGTTAGACAAATTAAATAGTGACACTCAATATTCTTTTCTGAAAACTCCAGATACTGGGTCAGGATTTGAAAATAAAGTCTCTACGTTATAGATGCAAAAAGAAGCCTAAAAGGGGGCCTGACTTAACAGATTGGAAGCGAAGAATGAACAATTCTGTACTTTTTACCCTACGTGCAGACCAGGCAGACCAGAGAAGACTCACAGACCTACTCTGCACCCAAGGTCCCACCGGCCCTGAGCCGATGGGCATTGCTGCAGGAGGCTCAGCAGCTCTAGCTGAGCCTTCCTGAGGACTCTTCTGAGAGCATCGGGCTTCACCTTGAGTCTCCGAAGGGTGGGGGCTGGGCCAAAAAGAAACAGAGCTGCGCTCAGCCTTCCAGAGGAGGAGCTGGGCCGAGGGGGAGGGGAGGGAGGCCGCCCGCGCCTCCAGCCTCTGCCCAGGAAAAAGCTGGGCAGGAAACGTCCCCAGCCCCCTCCCCAACTGTCAAACCCAGCCCGCCGCGGTCCTCCCCGGACACGTGTCTGCTGGACTGCGCCCCGGCCGGCCCGAGGGCTTCCTGAACCCCCGCTTCTGGCCGCCCGGGAAAGCTGAGAGTCCGCGAGGAGAGAAAAGC